TTTTTTTTTTTTTTATAAATGTATGAAGTGCACTCAGACTAAACACTATTCTATCTCAGCTTATATATTCCAACCTTCCGAAGTATGTCTTTTATAAGATAGCATAGCAGGAACATTTGACCCAGGATTTCTATTGGAATGAAGAATATATTTTATCCACAGTTTTTCCATATTAACTCCTTATATAGATATGCCTAACTCTTGATTTATTCCCTTAACATTGTTAAGTGATCAGGAGTTACCCATACTGAATGTGGAATCATTTCATTTCATTATTTTATCATTATTTCATTATTTTTGAGGAAAGCCGAAAAGTTATCTTGGGACACTTATTTCCAAAAGTCATCAGAAGCACCAGTGCCCCTTTCTGATGACACATTGTGATTGCACCTCCATTCAAAAACATCCATATGCTCCAAACAATGCTACACGTACATTAGATTCAGAGGTATATGTAGAATCTGATGTTATTGTCAAAACCATAAAAATAGCATCACACTGTTGTGATACAAGCTCCACCACTTTCATACATACTTCTGATGTCACAACATATATATAAAAGTGGCTGCTTTTGTCATTTGCCTTCCCTTGACCCATCCTGCAAATGCCTCTGAGTAGATTTATGCAATGTACTTCAACAACTGGGATATACCTAGGGGAAATAACTCACACCATCATTCAATTTCAGAGTTATAGACTTTATTTCCAACAAAACCATATACGCACCAGAAAAAAAAAAAGATGGCATGATTAATGCAAGGATATGTCTTGCACACTGCTTCTAATACTCCTGGCACTGTATAGCTTAAAAGATGGGTTGATACGATAGCCAGGAAACCAAATGTTAATTTTTCAAGGTGAATTGTGCCTATAAAGCAGGACAGATACATGACTATGACCATCATCTTACTGTCATGCTATACTACCCGATCATTAAAATAGTTTCTTTCAAACTATTTCTGAAAGATATGAGTCTGATGCTCCATCCTTCCGTCTTTCTCATATGTTCTTCCTTAAACAATTGTTGCTAAATGTGTTTTAATTCTAGCTTGCAAGGATAGTTTAGACCCCTTTGCCAGCTTAGGTTTCAAACTTCAGGTTTCAGGAAAGCAGGTGTTCAAACCTTTTCAATTGCCTTTTGTCAACTCACCATGCACAGCAATGTTTCTGGTGTCCTGGATGAGGATGTTGCCAGCTGAGACCTGCACCGTGATAGTATTCAGTCCTTCACTGGTAAAGATGTAAGAGATGCTGCTATCCAAGGTGATGAATGGCTGTAAAAGTGATATGCAGTTAGAAACAATTCATTAATTTATTCCTAGTCAGTTCATTAGCTGTTGAACATGAATTTCAGAATTGTAAGACATGAATCACAAGTACAAATGTGGACATGAGTATATCATTTAGATCTGTATGTCTGAGAGGGAAGCAGAACCAATGAGACCAGTATCTAGGATAGCTAAAATCTGCTTAGGAAATCTTCTGTATCACATTGCTTTTATAAGAGAACAAATCACTGATGATTGATAGATAGCTAAATCCATTTCTACAGAAATTGGCAGCTGTACAAAGCTAATCTGGCCTGGGTACAATCTTTTAAAATGAACCAGCTATCAGAATGAGATGTTCCATCTTTTCTTTTCATTACAAGTAAACCCATTGTCTAGGCAATATGAGATCTGCCCCTTGGAAAAATATAGCAATTGTTCACCAGCAGTAATGACTGTGTAGTTGCAGGGTGATTACCAATTATTCCTCCTATCACAGCTTGAAGGATGCTGTGAATTGTGAGATTTCCATAGAAGTATTTGTATGATTGCAATTGTGGCCCATTATAACTTCTTTACATGTTCTTGCTTGTATAAGACTTGCTGTATTAAGTGTCCGGCTGCTGTTTGAAGAAGGATTCCTGACAGAATGATACCCATTTGGGGCAAGCCAATGGAGTTTCATTAATAAGGGCAGGTTTTTTCAAAATTGCCCATTATCAACATTCCTCCTTGATTATAAATATAATGTATAGTATAGTGTATTTAAGGGATACATATTGTATAGAACTACTCCTCAAGATTTTTTTAACCTGTGACAGAGAGGGACTATGGAGGAGAGGGGCTCAGAAAGTTGAGATGGCAACAGTGCCCATGCAGTTGAAGCCTTGCCCTTTTAGGTGCACCACATGTAAAATAGGAACAGGGCTTGATAGCATGCTCACAGCTGCCATCTTGACTTTTTTTTTTTTTTTACTCCTTTGCAGATGCCTTTGCCTGTGGTTATTTAGAAATTATTCCCTCCCCATAAGCTTCTCTCAACTTCCTTCCCTTATATCCCCAGAATTCCTGAGATACAACTTGCCTGGGTCTATGTCTGTATGCTATAGTATTGTTTTTCATGCTACCAAAAAATCCAGTTTTGTTTTGAAAATCTGCCTCCTTGGTGGAGGTCCCATTATCATGGCTGATTTCACCTCCATCATAGAAATTTAACATTCTGGTAGCATCTTCAATTTAATTCCAGGGCTGAGGTCTGGAAACTAGCTCTAAATTAAATCAAGGAGTTTAAGGTTCATTTGTTCAAAGCCTATTAGATATCCAGATCCATTTATTAAACTGGGCTGCTGTTATTCCAAGCAAATTAGCCTTTTGGTATATTGCTAAAACAGTGGACCAGCACTTCACTACAATAGCTAGCCCTATTTAAATGAAGGAATGAATAAATAAAACCATTGTTCAAAATAGTATTGTATATTACATGGATACTCTTAATACAGGAGGGTTCAATAAAGCTAAACACAGACTAACTCCAGTTTGCACCAGTCATCTGATAGCTTAAGTTGAATCAGAAGCTGACCGAGCTACACTAATCCAAAGAAGGTTGTGCAATGCAGTGTCTTCAGTTAGAAAGTACTGTAAGTGGCAAGACAATGAAGAATTGGTCCAGATTTTTCTTCTGACTACTACTACTACGACGACTACTACTACTCAATCTGCAGTTTGTCATGCATCACACATGGAAAAGTCCCTTGTGCTGTATGATGGATTGTCATTATAGTTTACCATGTGGTTAGCCAGCTAGCAAGAATGGAAGCAGACAGCCCGTTAGCCGCATGGTAAGCTGTAATGAGAATCAAGCACACAGCACAAGTGATTTCCTGATATATGGATTGAACCCTTTCTCAAAGGCAGAACTTGATGAAATAGATCCCATATTCTCTGGAAACAGAAAAGTGGCTGGTGAAATGAGAGATTGCTTGTCGGCAACCTTCACATCATTACTTTTTGTATATAAAGCAAAAATGTAATGTTTTGCCAGTCTGAAAGGAAAAATGGACAAACTTAATAGACTCAATAGACTAGCACTACTTCCAGTGATTTACATTTTTTTTATCAGCATGAATTTTTATAATGCAAAGAAATGACAAAGTTTAGAATTCACAAAATGAATGTGAATGTTTGTGCTTAGTTAATTACATTGCTGTGTGATTAGCAACCTTTCTGCAGACAAAGATCTCCAGCCCTGCAATCAGGATTTCCAATGTGCTCATACAATGTGCAGAAACTGTTTTGTCTTTGTTTTAAACAAGGATACTTACATAAAGTGGGTTCCTTGTTTTTTTATCCATAATATTTTTCTGCAGATTTTTGGAGTTCATGTAAAGAATTCTGAGATTCCTCTCCAAACCTCATGAGCTACTGGCACTCAAGACAACAGTCCCTAGAGTGATTTGCTTCTAGAGAGTGCATAAATAGAAGTCAGAGAGTGATAAAAACCCCTGAAGAGTCAACAAAGGCACAGAGGCCCTGGGAGAAAAGCAGTTCTTCTGTGGCTGTTTTTAATCCATGCTGTGAATAAGTGGAAGTTTATCAGTGGAAAAATATGAAACAGGCTCGCTAAATGGCAGCCCTGCTTAGTTTTCAGTTCCATCATCCTATGATTATTGTCATTTTGCAAAACCAAATTATTCTACCAGCTTTACATTGTCCCCTATTTTGGTGCCATTTTGTGCTCACAATTTAAAGTTTATTTGTGATGCACAGATAAAATTTAAATTGGAGATACAAACTTTGTTTCCCAGACACTGAAACAATAATGCTGAAGAAGTACCTATTTGGGGCTCAAAAACATCAGGTCTGACCTTCTATGTTTCTCTTTGCCTGATAAGCTTATACATTAATTGTCCACAAAAACTGTTTTGTGTATGTTTAAAATAAAGTGAAAACTGTCCTATACCCGCTGAAGAAAGTGTTAGATACAGCCCTAGGCTAAGGCTGAGTAGGCACCAGCCCAGAGGTGCCAAACTTTAGGGGGTGCCAAAATTGAAAAGACTTCTGAAAAACACAATTAAAAAGCAAGTATCAGTAACAGCACACTCTGTGACCAGCATGCCCACTTGAGGGTTAAATAGAATTCCGCAGAATTGTTGCCATATGACAACAATGGGTACTGATGTAATTAAAATTAGTTACTGTGTAAATAGGATGAAAATGGCTGAAAAAAGAAAAAAAATGTCCAGGGCTGAAAATCATAAGTGTAACGCTCAAACACCCAAAGAAAAAAAGAAACAAGAAAAGGCTTTTTTGAAATTCCTAACAACATTTGAAGATGAGCCAAAACCATAGAAGATCTAGAATATGACTTTGCCCAGGACACTAAAATGTCCAAAGCCAGCCCTGGTTAGATATGTAAACTCTATACAACCACACCATTTAATGAGCCATGTGAATAGCATATAATGCCAGGCATTACAGAATGCCCATGTATAATGATAATGTGTAACTGTATGCCATGTATTTGTGGCAATGGACATGTATGAAGGATGGAATATGTGAAGCTTTTCCTAAGCAGGTGAAAAAGGAGAAAGTTTGTTCAACAAGATTTGTTTATGCAGTATGAAGAAGATGATGGTTTCAATCAAACTCAACAAGGTACCAGACATACAGCTCCCACAATGCAAGATGGTTTGCAAAGTAACAGATGAGCTGGAAGGGGCAAAGGCACTCTGATGGAAAAGTCCCAGGACATCTGATAAAAGTCATAAAATGGAACTGGCCAAACTTTGGTCATATCTTGATTCTTCTAGCATCCCAGCCTAGCATTTGAATTGGGTAGTTATGCATGAGTAACGTAAATGTGTGAATGAGAAGACATTATTAGTTCAGAAACTGAAAATAGAATGTGTAAATAGAAAATAGAAGGTGCGTTTTTTTCTATGTTCCTTTCCAAGTCTCTTAATAATAATAACAACAACAACAACAGCAACAACTGAAGAACTACAAATAGCACTGAAAATGTCTTTTAGCCCTCAGTGTGATACAGATTCTTGTGCAAATCATGTTAGGATATTTGAGGATATGTTTATGGCAGTGTGGTGGATCTAAAGACTTTCTTGACTTTTTTAAATATTATAATGGCTACCATACCCTAAACAATTGGTCTCCTATAGAAAGACCAAATAATTAGCATTCTTCCAAGTTTTATAGTGTAGTTTAGAAAGAGGCTTTTAACTTAATTACAGAGCACATATTTTGCAATTCACAGGTGTAATACCTAGCATCTCCAGGCATAGCCAGGAAATATTTCTCTCAATTCCCAGGAACTGTTGCCAGTTAGTGTAAACAGTATTGAGCCAGACAGATTAGTCATCTGACTTGCTGAAAGAAGCTGCAATAGGTCTAAATTGCCCATATTCAACACTAGGTATTACTGCCATGATGTTTAAATTTTCCAGTTTTACTCTGCCAAGGAAACACTTGCCTTCTTTTCCATTACTTCCCTGTACATGTGCTGTAGAATCTTTTATGTTTTAGTGGATTACAGGAAGTATTCTTGGACTCAAGTTTATTTTCAGGTGTGAGTATGAATTTAAAATATTTATCTCATTGGATGGGAAGATCAGTGGGTGGCAAATAATGTTTTATGGGAGCTTGTGTCTAGTATCCATTTCAGAATCCTGGTTAGGGTTCCAAAGAACTTCACTGTGTATATTCATGTGCTTAAAACAAGCCCCCCCCCCAAATCTTGGATTTGTTGAACAGTCTTATTGAAGGACACATTCAACCATCTACAAGGAGGAGTATCAGACTCAGGCAATCACCAGAAACTTCTTTATATTTTCAAACTGAGGTTCAGAAGCACATTAGTTGATAATTGTATATGTAACTGGTGACTGTCACTGAACATTCATGTAGTCCTCTGACATGTGTCCAAAGACAGGCACACACAGCATGGGTGGACAAGAACAGAATTGTTTATGATCTTAGCTTTAATTCACAAAGACCAAAAGTGATTTGATTCCTAGTGGCTTTAAAATGTGTTTCAGATTCTAAAATTCTAAGCATATACAAGCCCTCATGTTAGAAACACTGTTTATTTGATCACCAGCCGTTTTTAAATGCTGAGCAGAAACCCAAAATTATCCACTATATACGATGGGGTATAATTTTGAATTCTAGTAGTAACAATAGCTTCTAAACATAATCTTCCAATAATAGACAACTGCACATACAAAGACTCCTGCAAACAGCCACATGGGATAGGATAAAAGGAAAAAAGAAAGGAAATAAAGTTTGGAAAATGAAGAAGCTGTATTGACAGTAAAAGAAAATTATACTGCTTTATTGTAGTTCCAGGTGGCAGTCTCCCTTCAGAATCAAGATGAATCAATAGTTAATCCTGTCAAAGAAAATGAATATATTTCTGAACATGGAACAAACCTTGCTATTGTTGCCAAACCACCAGAAGTAAGTGACAGTCCCCGATTGACTCGGCCAAACCACAGCAGTGAGATTGACTTCCTTATTCCTGATGGCCACAAAAGGGACACTGAGGTGGACACGTTCCACTGGACCTGTAGGAAGACATTAAATATATACTTGTCTTCATATTTTAAAGTGGTTAAAAGCAAAAAGAAATGAAGCAAAACAAACAGATAACATCTTTTCTTACATGACTCTTCTATCTGCTTTAACAAACAATGAACAGCATGGGCTATTTAAAAGTGACAAAGATCTGTGATGTCACAGCTGAAGGAAAGCAAGTTGGGGAAGATTACTAATGAATGCTATTGTATTGTGATTGTATAAGTCAAACTGTGATCAATGTAAATGACTATAAATTAGCCTGTAGTTTGAAATACCCACTAGCAATAGGTACTGGCCCAATTGCAGACTTTTTATTCAACTTTTTGGAGAATGGATGAAGTACAAAATAACCCTGGCAAACTAGTGAAGTGCCAGATGACTGGAGGACAGTAATCTGTCTCTATTTTCAAAAAGGAGAGAAAGAAAGATCCAGAAAATTACAGATGGGTCAACCTGATATAAACAACAGAGAATATTGTAGAACAGTTCATAAACAGAATTTTAAGGGGTTTTTTTTTCTTATTATTTTTTTACAGATAGAAGTGGTAAAATCACCATGGATTTCTCTAGAATATATCTTGCCAGATTTGATCTGCTAATTTCTTTCCAACATTGTTGGAATATTTTAAATGCAATATTTCTTTATATCAGCAAAACTGAAATCAAAGTATCCTATGATATTTTTCTTAACAAACTAGGTAACAGTGGGCTGGATTGTATGTTCTCTTAATTAGGTGACTACACAACTAACTCATAATCATAGTTATAATGTTCATTAATGGTTCTTTATCAAACTGAAGAGAGGAAGTGGGGTGCCACGAGATTCAGAAGCAATACAGTAATGCTTATCAAATTTGCAGATGCCAAGAAAAAAAATGGACAGAATAATTAATAACTCAGAAAACAGAACTAAACTTCAAAACAATGGTAATAGGCAAGATAAATGTGCTGAAGGTAATAGTGAAATTTAATATGACAAGTGATAAGGTCTTCACTTAAAAGATTAAAAACCAATGCACAGGTCTAGGTTGGGGAATACCTGGTTTGGTAATAGTACACACATACATGTATATATATATTTATGTATATGTATGTATAAATATTTGTATATATCTATATTTATATTTATATCTTCTATATAGTCACTTTATCACACTAGTGGATTATCTTTGTTGGGATCTGAATGGGATTAGTACACCTGGTCCTGTTAGACCTCTAAGTGGCTTTCAATACCAGCAACCGTGGCATCCTTCTGGACTAACTTTGGGGCTGGAGGTTGGGGGCACTATGTTATTGTATCCAAATTCATTTAGAACTGACAGAAAATTCTCCTGTTGGAGAAAACAGTTCATATATTCTGAAAATAAGAATATATTGGCAGAGAAAAGTATATGACTTACTGGTAAGCAATTTGCTCCAGTGCCCTCAGTGCAATGCAGCAGATGGCTACTTAAGGTTTCATATTAAGAAATTAGTCATTTACTTTGTTACCAATAGGGGACAAAAAGAGACTGAAAAAGGATAAAAACAGTTTGGAAAGGGTGAAGTTTTAACTGCAATGTGATCTGTCTATCCGTTTTTCCCCCTTTTGTTTTCCATTAACATTCACATGTTGAACTGAATTTTAATTTGTCACTGTTGAACATCAGACATGTTTGGAATAACTAATAGTTTCTTGTTTGGATGCTCCAGTTAGATATACTGCTCTAATTGTAAGCAGGTGAGACCTTGCAGTTAATCATCATAACTTATTGTCCAGGTCAGTTCAAATATAAGGGACTTTTTGAGTTAGTCTTTTTTAAAAAGGAGGAGGAGGAGGAGGAGGAGGAGGAGGAGGAGGAGATAAAAATTTAAAAAGAATAGATCAGTGAGGCACAGACAGATATGGGAAAGAAAATTATAGTATGAAAGTAAGAAATTATTAGTGGAGAAGTAATTCTCTCATACTAGTGTAATAAATATGTACATAAGTGTCATATTCATATACTTGCATGCACAAGAATGAAAATAACATGATGGAACTTTGACCACTGGATGTGGGAAGCAAACGAAGTGCTTTCAAGGCCACCATGGACATCAGAGAATACTGAAAAGCTGAGGGAAGGGCAGTGATATACAACAGAGGAATTGTGAGAGCTGCTGTTTCTCTAAAACTAACTGCAAATGTTTCCTGTTTCTAAAAAAAATCATTAACCACAGAATCACATATGTTACCAATAGGTTTCACATTCTAAAAGAAAATCACAATTGAAAAAAAAATCAGTGCAAGACCATCACAGTTTGTAAATCTCCCTGAAAGGTCCTGCAATAGCTGCCATACTACAGGTCATCCTCAAATAGGACAACTTCCTTCTTCAGGACAAATCTTTAACATAACAACAGTGGTAGAGGATCAGTTGCTGTCTTTGGTGAAGACCTCAGTGATTAAGTAAATGAGATTAGCTCTGAACGGAATAGGCAACAAAAAGAGGGGGACTGACATTTCATTGCTTGTGGGCTGCTCTTAGCTTCTCCTGATCTTTGTTCTTTCAGAAATACAAATTTCCCTATTTATAAGCATGCATGATAAGGATCATGAAACTGACTGGAAACTGACTGAAAGGATTAAAAATTTGTTTTGCTGAGAATCCCTATAAAAACAGTGAAATCATGATTTTACAGGGAAACTGATTAGATCGATTAAGGTTCAATTTGTTGCTAAACACTGCTTATATAAGCAGAGGAAATAAACTGCAGCCTTTTTAAAAAAAAACTCTTGGAAAACCACCTGGAAGCTTCAACTGGTCCAGAATGCAGGGGCATGGGTAGTGATGGGCATGTCTTGGTATGCCCATGCAATACCTCTGCTTCATGAGCTGCACTGGTTGCCAGTTTCCTTTCAAGTACAATTTGAGACTCTGGTTGTTACCTATAAAGCCCTACATGGTATAGGACCTGCTTACTTGAGGGACTGCCTGTTTCTCATAACATCCTCCTGGCTGATCTAATCTGTCAGGATTGGCCCACTCTGGGTTCCTTCAATTGAACAATGCCATCTATTGGGACCCTGTAAGCATGCCTTCTCTGCCATCTTTGTTCCTTTTTTGTTTTGGGTTGTTTTCTTGTTTCAGATTATAGGGCCAATATGCAAGACCAATGGGGGAGGGGGGTATCAAAAACAAAATGGTGGCCATGGTAGAATGATCAAAGCCCTGCATATTTTTTACATGTGTATTGCACACACATACAAAGGGAGGAGACTTCAAATACACTTCCATGACCGTTACCTTGCCTCTTTTTAGTCCACCTCCCCCCACTCATGATTATATATAAAGTATATTTGCCCTGTACTATAATTTCATGCATAGAGTAATAGGCTATTGAATGCCTCTTCAGCAAAAGCCAATATTATTGCAGTGATTTTTCTGTATGATTCACTAACTTCAAATAGTCCAATCATATTACAACACTAATCAGTCTCTAAGTAGTGTAAGCTACTGCATGCCTAAAAGACCCACTGAGTTCAATAAGACTTATTATACAGGTAGTATACATAGAATAACAGCCTCCATCAACATTGTTTCAAAGGTTAACAGGCCATCATGATTTACTGAAAGCACTGCACTTCACATGAACTCTGTATGTTTACAAATCTAAAAAGAACATTATGATATATTCAGGGCACAGAATTCCACAGTTATGCCAAACTACCACCCACTTCTGTATTCATCAAGCTGTAAGAATCCTAATCAATGTACAAAAAGAGTACAGGTCTATTATAAAAAGTACAAAATGTCACATTGTGAGCCTAAAAAGTACATGCTGTACCGAAAGTCACAAGATGATACAATCAAATAGCTGAATTTCCATATAGATATTTTCCACGTGCCAAAATATTGGTCAGTTTTTGTTTTTGTACTAAAGAAAGAATTCTCTCATTTGAAATATGGATGTTTTCCATCTCAGGTAAATGATCGCTCACATTTATTTCTAAAAGTACGAAAGAATGGCAATTTTGAGAACACACCATCAAACTATGCTTCTCTTGAATATGATGGAGATGCCTAAAGCTGGGATCCAATTAGATAATTATGACAAAAATATTATTCAGCAATATTCTGTCTCAGAGTAAATAGTAATTTAAATTAAAAAAAAATTCTGATGCTTTCAATTTTAATTAAAAATGGTATATATTTGCAACTTAAGGGGCATGTCTTCCAGAGCTATGAACTATGTATGCAATCAAACTAAGAGACTTTTCAGAGTCCATCTACTTACAAACCACATGCAGGAAGAGTGCTGCCAGATCAGAACCCAGGTTATTTTCTGCATAAGCTGTTACTTGGAAGATTCCAGTGCTCTTATAAACATGTCGGATACCATCTTCTATAGGGCTGAAATTAGCATAGGATACAGCAGTACCATCCCCAAAATCTAACTGGATATTTGTCCTCTGAAGGTCACCCTGCAAGAAGGAATACTATTGTTTATTAATGTGGCTGATAAGATCCATTTGTGCTGCAGAGAAGATAGTAGGGATTGCACCATAGAGTTTGGGTTTACTTTATATTTTCTTGGTACTTAAGTCCACTAATGGCTAGGTATGCATGAATTAATTTCTCAGGTAGTACAGTGCATTGTATAATTCCAGGTTATAGATGAGAGATGTGTTTCTAAAATACTCTTTCTTAGGCACTAATTAATAAAATAAGAATAGTAGTAGTAATACTAACAACAATATTACTACTACTATTACTATTACTACTACTACTAATGATGAAGATACCTTTAACACCATCAAACAACATCTGCCTATCCCAGGACCTTGCAAAGGACTCAATAGATGGATAAAAATGCCAAGTCCAATCTAAACATCTGGCTGACTGTGAGACCAACTGTCGTCATCATCATCATCATCATCATCATCATCATCATCATCATCATCTGCCTGCAAGCAAGAACTGGTGGGACCACAAAACAGACAAAGCAATAGAAAATGAAAAAGCTAAAGTACTCTGGAACTTTAGAATTCACAGTCAAGCACCTGCCACACAACACCCCAGATGTAACAATTGTTGACAAGAAAGACAAAAAAGTCTGGACAGTGGATACTGCAGTACCTGGAGACAGCAGAATAGAAGAGAAAAAACTGGAAAAAATCACAAAATATAAAGACCTGCAAATAGAAGTAGAACGACTATGGCAAAAGAAAGCA